ACGGGAACCCGGTGGGCGGCCACCAGTGCTACCGGCTGATCATCGTGGACCAGGAGAGCTGCTTTGACCCCACTTCGCAGCTGAACTGCTTCCACGAGCCCAACATCAAGAACCTGCCCTTGGGCCGCACGGTCTTCTTCGGCGTCCAGCCCAAGTTCACCAACGTGGACATCCGCATCACCATCGACGTCACCTTTGGCGGCGTGGACGTCTACATCTCCACCTCCTACGAGACCTTTGTGGTGGACGTGGACCGGGCCACGGGCATCCACTCCGTGCGCGTGGTCTCCCCGGTGGAGGAGGCGGCCGGCCGGTCGTCGTCGTCGCAGAACGGGAGCCAACCACTGCCACCAGTGCGCGAGGCGTGGACACACGGCCTGATCACGTACATCACGGTGCGGGAGCAGCAGGCGGTGCTGGCGGTGCGGGGCGTGCGGGACCGCGTGGTCATCACCTACCCGCACGAGATCCACGCCCTGAAGTCCAGCCGCTTCTACGTGGTGCTGGTGGGCGTGGGCGGGCCCGGGGGCAACGCCACGGAGTCGCAGGGGCTGCTCTTCTTCCGCCAGGACCAGGCCCACATCGACCTCTTCGTCTTCTTCTCTGTCTTCTTCTCCTGCTTCTTCCTCTTCCTCTCCGTCTGCGTCCTGCTCTGGAAGGTCAAGCAGTTCCTGGACCTGCGCCACGAGCAGCGCCGCCACCTGCAGGAGATGACCAAGATGGCCAGCCGCCCCTTCGCCAAAGTCACCGTCTACTTCGAGCCGGACGCTTCGGGCACCGCGGGCGCGGCGCTTCTACCGCCCAACGCCGAGCTGGTCTTCCTCCCAGCGCGGACGCACAAGCACCCGGCTCTGGCCGCCGCCGCCCCGCCACTGCCCAGCCGCCTGAAGCCGTTCCACGAAGCGCCCTACCCGGTGGCCCACTTCCGCCGCTCGGAGCCCTTCCTCTCCCACCTGATGGGCTACTCCTACTCCAGCTTCCGAGTGGGGCCCATCACCCTGGAGCCCACCGACGACGGCATGGCCGGCGTGGCCACCGTCCTCTTCCAGCTACCAGGAGGCATGCAGGCCCCCAACCGCGCATGCCTGGGCTCGGCCCTGGTCACCCTGCGACACAACCTCCAGGACTATTGCAGCAGCAGCCATGGGGCAAGCAGCTCCCGCAAGGGCCTCCTCAGCCACGAGAACCTCACCAGCATGTCCCTATGAGGAGGAGGAGCACGAGGAGGCGGTGCCACGCATGGTGGCGGGTGTCCATCCGCAGCTCTGGACTCACACTTTCCAGTGACCTCAGCGGGAGATGCGTGAGAAGCAATTTTTTGTGCACCAATATGGTAGCCCACCATCGTGCCACAGATTTAGACATCGGCACCAGGGAGAACTATGTCTCTCTTGCATCTAGATTGCAAAGATCTAGGTGTCGCCCTTCTTTGCAGTTCTTTGCACCAGTCTGATGTCATCTAGAGATGCAGAGGAGGCCATCAGTGGATGCATTCGGATGCTGGAAATGCACAAGAGACAATCGTTGATGCACCAATATGGTAGCCCACCATCGTGCCACAGATATAGACATCGGTAACAGGGAGAACTATGTCTCTCTTGCATCCAGATTGCAAAGATCTAGGTGTTGCCCTTCTTTGCAGTTCTTTGCACCAATATGATGTCATCTAGCGATGCAGAGGAGGCCATCAGTGGATACATTTGGATGCTGTCCACTTTAGTGCCAAGAATATAAACATCGGCACCAGGGAGAACTATGTCTCTCTTGCATCCACTTTTCACATTCGTGCCATGAATATAAACATTGGCAACAGGGGGGAACTATGTCTCTCTTGCATCCAAATTGCGAAGATCTAGGTGTTGCCCTTCTTTGCAGTTCTGTGCACCAATATGATGTCATCTAGAGATACAGAGGAGGCCATCAGTGGATGCGTTTGGATGCTGTCCACATTCGTGCCAAGAATATAAACATTGGCACCAGGGGGAACTATGTCTCTCTTGCATCCACTTTTCACATTCATACCATGAATATAAACATCGGCAACAGGGGGGAACTATGTCTCTCTTGCATCCAGATTGCAAGATCTAGGTGTTGCACTTCTTTGCAGTTCTGTGCACCAATTTGATGTCATCTAGCAATGCGGAGGAGGCCATTAGTGGATGCATTTGGACGCTGTCCACATTCGTTCTATGAATATAAACATTGGCACCAAGGGAACTATGTCTCTCTTGCATCCAGATTGGAAAGACCTAGACGTTGCCTGTGCTCTTTTCTTGCAGTTCTGTGCACCAATTTGATGTCATCTAGATGCATTTGGACACTGTTTACATTCGTGCCATTAATATAGACATCGGCTCCAGGCAGAACTATGTCTCTCTTGCATCCAGATTGCAAAGACCTAGGCGTTGCCCTTCTTTGCAGGTCTGTGCACCAATTTGATGTCATCTAGAGATGCGGAGGAGGCCATCAAAGGATGCATTTGGACACTGTTTACGTTCGTGCCATTAATATAAATATCTGCACCAAGGGAACTATGTCTCTCTAGCATCCAGATTGCAAAGACCTAGGCATTGCCTGTGCTCTTTTCTTTGCAGCTCTGTGCACCAATGTGATGTCATCTAGAGATGCAGAGGAGGCCATCGAAGGATGCATTTGGACACTGTTTACATTCGTGCCACTAATATAAACATCGGCACCAGGGGAAACTACGTCTCTCCTGCTGTTGGATTGGACATGCTGGCCATTGCCTTCTGTGTCTTGATTGGAGACGCCATGAACCAAAATGGCTAGCTCCTGCAAATGGAAGCAGCTTCCCATGCAACATGGCCCACAGTCATGCCACGAATATAGAGACATTGGTACCAGGTGGGACTACGTCTCTCTTGCATCCAGAGTGGATGCAGCTGGACATTGTCTCTGCTACTTCATCTATGGTTCTGTGCACTGTTTCAATGCCATCTGGGGATGTTTTGGAGGAGAAGGCGGCAACTGGTGACAATCCAATGTGGCGGTGCTCACATTTGTGCCACGGGTATAGAGACATTGGTACCAGGTGGAACTACGTCTCTCTTGAATCCAAAGTGGATGCAGCTGGACATTGTCTCTGCTACTTCATCTATGGTTCTGTGCACTGTTTCGATGTCATCTGGAGATGTTTCGGAGGAGAAGGCAGCAACTGGTGACAATCCAATGTGGCGGTGCTCACATTTGTGCCACGGGTATAGAGACATTGGTACCAGGTGGAACTACATCTCTCTTGCATCCGGAGTTGATGCAGCTGGACATTGTCTCTGCTACTTCATCTATGGTTCTGTGCACTGTTTCGATGTCATCTGGAGATGTTTCGGAGGAGAAGGAGGCAACTGGTGACAATCCAATGTGGCGGATGCATTTGTGCCACAGGTATAGACACCGGCTCCAGGTGGAACTATGTCTCTCCTGCATCCAGAGTGGAAAGACCTGCACGTTGCCTGTGCACCAATTCAGTGTCATCTAGAGATGTGGAGGAGGCTATTGTCATCTAGAAATGCAGAGGAGGCAATCCGTGGATGCATTTGGACGTTGCCCACATTCGTGCCATGAATATTGACACTGGGCACCAGGGGGAACTATGTCTCTCCTGCTGCCGGATTGGACAAACTGGCCATTGCCTTCTGTGCTGCCTTTTGTGTCTTCATTGGAGACACCGTGATCCAAGATGGCCGGTTCCTGCAAAGGGAAGGAGCCTCTCGTGCAACAGGGTTGAGACACGTGTGCAAAAGATGGATTGTAAACTCGGGGGGTTTGGGGGTCCCGTGGGCCTTGTTTCCTCTCTCTCTGTTTCCGTTTCTTTTCCTGTCCTGAGTTTTCCTTTATTTAAAACTAATTTCCTTGAAGGGTCGTGATGGTCTGCTGGCCACCACTGTCTCCAGCACAATGACAATCGCCCCCCACACCAAAAAACAAAACAATAATAAAGAGAGTTTGCTGCCTACATGTCTGTCCGTCAAAGGAATGCATTACACTATGTAACATGTTTATTTATTTTATTTATTTATTATTCAAACTTCTATGCGGCCACTCCCCTGGGGCTCGGAGCGGCTTACAAGAACAGGCTAAAATCTAACACAATTTAAAAACAATTTAAAACAATTTAAAAACAGCAATATCAAAGATCAAAGGCCTGTCGAAACAGGTATGTCTGACATGCCCTGCGGAAAGCTGGTAAGTCCCACAAGGCACGGACTTCAGGTGGCAGAGTATTCCAGAGTGATGGGGCCACTGCTGTGAAGGCTCTGCGCCTGGTTGCTGTTAGACGCAAGGTCTTGACGCTGGGAATTTCCAATAGATCTTGGTCCTCAGAACGGAGGGATCTCTGGGGTTGGGAGGGGGAGAGGCGGTCCCTCAGGTACATCGGCCCCAGACCATGCAAGGCCTTAAAGGTGAGTCCCATCCCTTTGAAAGTGATCCGGTGCTCAATGGGTAACCAATGCAGCTGCAGGAAGATTGGGGTGATGTGGCATCTCATCGGAATTCCCGCAAGAAGCCGAGCAGCTGCGTTTTGTACCAACTTGAGCTTCCGGATCACCGACAGAGGAAGGCCAATGTAGAGGGCGTTACAGTAGTCCAGTCTTGAGATGACCGTGGCCTGGATCACCGTAGCTAGGTCGTCCCTGGACAGGGAGGGGGCCAGCCGTCTAGCCTGCTGCAGGTGAAAGAAGGCGGTTCTGCTCACGGCGGAGACCTGGGCCTCCATCGTCAGCAGAGGGTCCAAAAGGACTCCCAGGCTCTTTACCAATGATGACGGGCGTAGCGCCTCGCCATCCAGGGTAGGCAGCTGGTCCCCACTGCCCGGTCGACCCAGCCATAGGATCTCCGTCTTTGCTGGATTCACCCTCAACCTGCTGGCACGCAGCCATCCAGTCACGGCTTCGAGGCACTGATGGAAACAATCGGGTACAGAGTCCGGTCGGCCTTCCATCTTCAGCACCAGATGTTCCTGGGTTAGAAATGCCAATTCCTAATTGGCCCTCTCATAAAAACATGGGGAAAAGTTTATTAAACTGCCCAAACTTTGTTTTTGCGGGAGGGACATCCTTCTGTAGCACACAATATATTTATTATTATCGTTATTGTGCTGGTACAGCTGTACCAGAAGCTCCCACTTTATTTGCCTTGTATTAAGTGTTTGCTTGCAGCCCAAGGCCTGGGATTCTGCAGAAGGGTGGCTTCCTGTTCATCATCATCATCATCATCATCATCATCATCACTTTATTTCTTAATTAGTCGCTCTCCACCAAAGTGCTCGGAGCGAATTACAATTTAAAATAGCTTATAAAACATTCAACATAAAAACATTCAGCATAAAAACATTCAGCATAAAAACATTCAGCATAAAAACATTCAGCATAAATTCAACATAAAAACATTCAACATAAAAATATTCAGCATAAAAACGTTCAGCATAAAAACGTTCAGCATAAAAACATTCATTCAGCATAAATTCAACATAAAAACATTCATTCAGCATAAATACAACATAAAAACATTCAGCATAAAAACATTCAGCATAAAAACATTCAGCAGTGACTATGGCAAAATTTGATCTGGTTACTCAAATGCACAACCAAACAGCCAAGTCTTGAGCGCCTTTGCAAAAGGTCGCAACTCCGACATTGCTCTAATGTATGGAGGCAATGAGTTCCACAGAATTGGAGCAGAGGTCAAAAAAGCTCTACTATGCCTTGTAACTTCCAAATGTGCCTCCCTAGGACCCGGTATGTAGAGGAGATTTGGGTGGATCGGGGTGATTATCAGCATAGATGAAACTCTCTGTCCCTTCTGGCAGTGGCTGGTCATTTGTGTAGATGTTGAACATGGATGGAGCAAGCACGCTCCCCTGAGGCAGGCCGTTCTTCTGTTTCCGCCATCTGCTTCTCTGGCCCTGGAACTCAACAAAGAAGCTCCTGTTTGGTAGCTGATTTCCTTGAGTGGTGATGGCACGATCATCAGCATAGATGAAGCTCTCTGTCCCTTCTGGCAGTGGCTGGTCATTTGTGTACATGTTGAACACGGATGGAGCAAGCACGCTCCCCTGAGGCAGGCCGTTCTTCTGTTTCCGCCATCTGCTTCTCTGGCCCTGGAACTCAACAAAGAAGCTCCTGTTTGGTAGCTGATTTCCTTGAGTGGTGATGGCACGATCATCAGCATAGATGAAGCTCTCTGTCCCTTCTGGCAGTGGCTGGTCATTTGTGTAGATGTGGAACATGGATGGAGCAAGCACGCTCCCCTGAGGCAGGCCGTTCTTCTGTTTCCGCCCTCTGCTTCTCTGGCCCTGGAACTCAACAGAAAAGCTCCTGTTTTGTAGCAGATTTCCTATGAAGTCCTTTTGATATTCTACGCACTCCTCCGGGCCCCCTCCCCAGCCAGTTGTGGTCCCGCGCTCCCTTCCCCCTCCTGCCTCCCCTGAGGCAGGCCGTTCTTCTGTTTCCGCCATCTGCTTCTCTGGCCCTGGAACTCAACAAAAAAGCTCCTGTTCGGTAGCTGATTTCCTTGAGTGGTGATGGCACGATCATCAGCATAGATGAAGCTCTCTGTCCCTTCTGGCAGTGGCTGGTCATTTGTGTAGATGTTGAACATGGATGGAGCAAGCACGCTCCCCTGAGGCAGGCCAGCATGGTGAATAAAACTAAAACTAATAATAATGCAATATTATAATGATATATTACTAATAATTGCATGAAACAAAAAGCATCACAAAAGAATCGGGAACAAACAAGCAAACATAGTCCACACACACACAAAAGCAGATTTAAACTGGATTATATAAATCCATACTGTCAGATAATCTGGGATAAACAGTAAACCTTTTATTTGAAAAAAAAATGTTTTTCCCTGACAGAAAATTTTGTTTTCTACACAAACAAACTACACAAAAATGCATATAACAAGTCACAAGATGCAGTGATTCTCCTAATTCAGGATTCTTTTTGTTAAGATTTCCTGAAACTTGATGAAAACATTTTCAACCATTGTATGCATATTTTCAAGTAATGTTTCAGTCCCTAAAACAATGAGTACTAAATTACTTCAAGCTCTATTCTAGATATCAGTCTGCTCTTGCAAAATGCTATTTAACATGCCTGCCACATTACATCAGTTGCTTCCTTTAACCTGCAAAATCACACACATCAAGCTCTGCTAAATATAGAAATCACTTGTGGCATCATAGATATGCAAACATAAAAACCCAGCAAGACGAAATCTAGCACGGGTTTATTATTGTTAGACTGGTGCCTCACATAATGCACCTGGTAAGATAATTTCAGGAA